GCTTAATTTTTAATAACTATTTAAAAAGCATTTGATTTGGTTACATAAAAGGTACTTTAAAGATTCTCAAAGACTCTCATCTAACAACATAGTACAAAAACCATACTTTCCTTAAAGGAGGTAACAGTAGAGAGAACTTTGTTTTTTATACTTAAAATGAGGCATAAAACAGGAAGACAAATGATCACCAAGTGCTGGCCATTGTAATGCTAGCTATGTAGCTCAGAATCTAAACCAAAGATGGATTTCCAATAGATGGTAAGGTCCTCCAGATGCTCTTATTTATGGGTTACATTGTGCTGATTGCATCAAATCCTGGAACTTCATATAATTTTCTTTGTGAGATCTATAATCCATCAATAAAATTCAGTTTAATTATCCACACAGGGAAAAAAAAAACAAATGGGCAAAGAATGACTATTGTTCAGACTATGATAAGAAATTGGATAGAATTCATAATCATAATTTTTGGCCTAGCTTACTGGGGGCTATTGTTTATTATTTTTCTCTATAGTGGAAGTTCACAAGAATATTGGTTTTGATTTATAGAAATTAATCTTTTATATAATTGGGCTAGACCAAATTCTATAAATCAGGAGCTGTCTGGATTGTTACTTGAAATTCCCCTGGACAGAGAGTGACATTTTGTAACATCCTGAAATCAAGGTCCAAGATTTTAGACTTGTAAGATTCATTAGCAATGATGTAGTGCAATCCCCTTCTCTTCTGCTCCTTCTCTGTTTTGTGAAGAAATTGACATCCAAGGAGGTTGTGACTTTTCCATGGTCACACAGCTAATGGGAGCAGAACTGTGATCAGATCCCATATAATACTTTTTGATGTTTATCTCTTTTACTGTAACAGGATTGAGGGAAAAAGAAAGAGGGGGAGGGAATGAACATTTGTATTGTACCTACTATGTGCCAGGCACTTTCCTAAGCACTTTTTACAAATATTCTCTTTTTTAATCTTTGCAGCAACCCTGAGAGGTAGGTGCATTTTACAGTAGAGGGAATTGAGACAGCCAGGGGTTAAGTGACTTCCCCAGAGTCAGACAGCTAGTAAGTATCTGATGCTAGATTTGAATTCAAGCCTTCCTGATTCCAGACCAAATGTTCTATCCATTCAGCTACCAATTGCTTCAACAGTGCTTTTCAAAACTTGAATAATCAAGAAGTTTTTATGATAGTCCCCATTATTGACCTTGGATATAAAGTTTCAGTACCAGACATGGACAGAAGTATTTTGGTTGCATCTATCTATTGACATGTAAAAGCTAAAGGATTTATGGTAATATCTTTCATGGAGAAGCTAGGATTCATTTCCTGAGAGAAAGCCATTGATCTTCTGACAGTTTTTTACTTGAGTGATTTTTATTTTGGCTGTGGGTACCAAATGATTGATAGAAATTTCATCGTCTTATATGATGTATGCTTTATAGTTCAGTTCCAAATTGTACCATTATTTACCTCTTGAAGAGTGTTTGCCTCAGGAAATGACTCACTTAAGTTTCAATGTCTTAGACTGCATCTCAGTAGCATATTTTACACTATTACTTTCATAACTTTTACCTATAATTTAGGTATTCATAATTTTATTTGTAGACAGAGTGAGAAAAAGTAGATTATTCTGATTTAACAAAATGAAAATAAAAAAATAGTTAAGAATACTAGGAAACTGGAGACAGGCCAACATTTACCGATTTCTCTGCTTAATCTACTTTTAATCATCAGGTTTTTTTTATCAGGCATATGGAAAAAAGTAAACATTCAATTGCCCTCCTTCTAAGTTCTGCTCTGATGCTTTGTTATGAGATGAAGTTGACTCTGGGTTGTTGAGTTCCAGTAGACCACAGGCCGGGAATTTCCTGCAAAGTCTGAATGACTTCAAGAATAGACTTATAGACCACAACTGAATAGAAAATTTGACATTCAAATACAAGACTTAAGAGAGGCATGAAAACATAAACATGAATGAGAAACCATGTGGCACTTAATAAAGTTAACCTGAACTGTTTATCTTCCCAAATGGGAAGATAATATACTTAACCCCCAAGAACTCTGTCATCATTAGGGTAGTTTGAGGGAGTTTACATAGATAGAAGCATGGTAAGTATGATGTTGAGGTGTCTCAAAAGAAAAATGGAAGGCTAAGGAAAATAAAAGGATATAATGGGAGAAGGGAGAAGGGAGAGGAAGAATGGGGGAAATTATCTTACATAAGAATAAATGACATTTTTTTCTAAAAAAAAATTGTCTATCTAAATCCAAGAGCAAGCACTATCTGTAATGGGGATAAACTAGAAGCTTTTCCAGTAAGATCAGGGGTGAAGCAAGGATGTCCATTATTACCATTATTATTCAACATCATATAATAAATGCTACCCATAGCAAAAAGACAAGGAAAAAGAAATTGAAGGAATAAGAATAGACAACAAGCAAATAATATAACTCTTTGCTGGTAGAGATCCCTAGAGAATCACCTAAAAAAAACCTGGATGAAGCTATTAACCACTTTAGCAAAGTTACAGCATATAAAATAAACCGACATAAATCATCAGCATTTCTATATGTTACTAACAAAACTTAGCAGAAAGAGATAAAAAGAGAAATTATTTAAAATAACTGCAGACAGTATAAAAGAATTGGGAGTCTACCTGCCAAGACAAACCCATGAACACAATTATAAAACATTTTATATGAACAAAGACAAATCTAAGCAACTAGAGAATTATAAATTGCTCATGGATAGACTTAGCCAATATAAAAAAAAATTCTACTGAAATTAATTTACTTATTTAGTGCCATACTAATCAAACCACCAAAGAATTGAATATAGAAGAGTATAGAGACAGAAAAAATAAAATTCATCCTGCCAAACAAAAGTTCAAGAATATCAAGGGAATCAATGATAAAAAAGGTGAAGGAAGATTACCTAGAGGTATCAGATTTCAAACTATACTATAAAGCAGTAATCATGAAAACAATCTGGTACTGGGTAAGGCACTGAGTGAACAGTGGAATAGATTAGATACACAATATATAGAAGTAAATGATCATAGTAATCTAGTGTTTGATACATCCAAATATCCGAGCTAGTGGGGCAAAGACTTCCATAAAAACCATTAGGAAAAACTAGAAAGTAGCCTGATAGAAACTAGTCATAGGTGAAGATCTTATACCATATAAAAAGATAAGGTACATGATTGATACATGATTTAGACATAAAGCATGATATCATAAGCAAATTAGGGGAACACAGAATAAATTATCCATCATGTCTATGAATAAGGGAAGATTTTATGAAAAACAAGTGATATAGAAGATCATGAGAAGTAAAATGCATAATTCTGATGACATGAAATCAAAATTTTGGTACAAATAAAACCAATGTAGCTAAAATTAAAAATTTTCAAATATATGAGGAACTGAGCCAAATTTATACAAAGAAATATTAGTCACTCCCCAAATGATAAATGGTCAAAGGATATAAATAGGCTGTTTTCTGAATAAGACATCAAAGCTATCAATAGTCATATTAAAATGCTCTAAATCACTAATAATTAGAGAAATGCAAATGTCTAGACTAGAAAATTAATGATGATAATTTAATAATAATAATACATTGTTATTGTTGAGTCATTTTTAAGTTTTGTCTAATTCTCCCTGACCCTATTTGTAGTTTTCTTGGAAAAGGAATGGTTTGACATTTCCTTCTCTGGCTCCTTTTACAGATGAGCAACTGAGGTAAACAAGGTTAAGTTATTTGCCCAGGGTCACACACTAGTGTCTGAAGCCTGGATTTAAACTCATGAAGAAGAGTCTTCCTGACTCCAAGCCCAGTGCTCTATCTACTGTGCCACCTAGCTGCCCCAATAATAATCCATATCCTTAATGGAAGTAAGAATGCTATGATCTGTTTCTGTAAATATAGATGTAGTTTATTGACAATATAATAAGCCACTGAAAATGGTGTCATGTATGGCATCCTGCTGGTAACTAGAGGTCCTTCGGAATAAACAATCGTATGTTTTATATTTTAAAAAGTGCAAAATAAAGGAGCCTTTTCTCTTTCACAAAAATTGTGTGATAATCCCTCTAAAAGCAATAGATCTCCATTCTTTAGTCCCCCTCCTTATTCTTTCAGAGCCTGAAGCCATTTATGTTTCAATTCCATGTTTACAACTTAAGTATACTCCACATACCTGCTGAGCTTTTAGCCTCCTTTATCCACATAGCTTCTCACTATCCCAGTTAACCACCGTCTCCTTAATTCCTCAGGTCCTTTTAATCAGCCTGACCTCTCCAGTGTGACCTCATTCCATTCAAAAAATCTCAGTCACTTGGAAACATACTTTCAGGGATAGAGCAGGCGGGGGGGGGGGGGAGCTGGCTTTTTAGTCTCCCCAGCGTACATATCTGCATCTCTTAAATTTTTTGTAGATTCAGTGATGCTTAGCCAGGGACCTACCTACCTATTAGCCATTCACTAGGCTGCAATTTTGAGAAAAGCACCAGTCTGACTGGTCATTTAAAGATTTAGCACAGAAATAGAGGAAAGAAAAAAAAAAGTTGAGAAAAACCTACCTCATGATTAACATGGTCATGTTTCAAATTTCAATTGATCAATCATAATTAAAAAAAATAAGATAAGCACTTTCCCTTTTGTTTTAAATGAATTTAATTTTTTTTAACTGTGGGCACAAGAGATGGTTTTAATGTAGCTTTGTTTCATTTCGAGAAAGGATATTTTGGTTGTGTCTCCACTGCCCTCCTTTCCCCCCCCACCCCAAATAAATTCCCACCTAAGTGTGTTTAGCAAAGCATATGTTGTCACATAATTATTTTTAGATAGTCTTCTCCTTAGATGTTAGATGTGATGAAATCACATGGAGGCTTTCTTAATTGGGAATACTTTTCACTTCACACTGAATTATGTATCTAGTCACTACAAAAGGTGTCAGGAAAAACCAAATTACTATTGATATTATTGGTACTTACAGGTCCAGTGAAATCAAGATTCTAAGGGATGATTTTGGCTTAGCACATCCATTAATTTATTTTTCTTTTTTATTAATTGACTTCTGAAAAAGAATTAATGAGAAGAAAGAAGAGGTCAGGAGAGATGCCTATGAATGTATCAACTGAGTTCTTAAGAAGAGGCAATTAAGATTAATCACATCATATTAATATACAATGATATTCCATTAAATGAGTGTCTATTAAAGAAATTTATGAAAGATTTTCAGTGACTTTCACAGCTGCGATTGCAAAAGTGAAATGCCTTTCAAAATGAATAGAAACAATAATACATTATAAGTAGTTAAGATAACTTCACATTGTGTTGCTATCTGCCTCTGTCAGGGACCCAGAATGGGTGGATTGCTCAATTCATTTCCTTCAACAAAGTGAAATGCCTATCACAGTCAAGATAGGTACTAGGAATATAAAGGCATCAAATTGTCTCTAACCTCAAGTGATAAGGATATACAGCATGCACATAAATAGAGTAGAAGAAAAATTAAGAAGGGAAAGGGTGCTAACATCATCTGGGTTCAGGCAGGCTTAATGGAAGAAATGGCATTTGTTAAATGGAATACTAACAGTGGCATAAATAATATCCAGACTGTCATGTCCTGTCATGTAAGAGAGATAAAGTGATGTCACCTACGACAGTCCTCCGAAGATTTCTCTTTTTATAGTATGGGTGATGATATGACATAGCTATCTTCAGTGAAGGCTTCCAGAAGGAGAAAACCCAATGATTTTAATTAAACACCATGTTTTAGTAAGTTTTCATCGTATCAGTAAATGACATTTGTATAACTTTGAAACTAGATTGTAATGAGTTTTGTAATTTTTTTTTTTAGCTTGGGGTTTTCATAGCAGGATCGGTATTCCAGAGACTGTTTCCTCCTCATTACAGTGTTATAACTCACTCAAGCTGATTTCCAGCCTTACCTTTCTTGGATTGTCCCAGTTGCTAGTACTTTTCTATCTTCTCAAATTACCTTCCATTATACGTTATTTGTGTAGCATTTTTAGTTTTCACCCACTCCCACTCCCCACTTCGGTAGAAAGCAAGCTTAGAGTAAGGAGGCTTTGTTTTGTCTCTGTATTTGCAGATCCTTTCCCAGAGATTTAAATATAAGACTTAATTAATAAATGTTTATTTGATTTTTTTTAGTTGCAATTCAGATAAACTTACTGCCAAGAGGCTCCCTTACGTCTAATCATCTGAACAGCCAAGCTTCCTATGAGGTTGTTAAGTGAATCAGAAATCAACATGGTTTCCTACTAAAATATGCTTAAAAAAAAATAAAAGTTCTTTATATAGGGACTGGATTGGTGGTTTCAATAGCCTGGGCAAGGACCACGTAAAGAAATACCCATAGCTACCTCTTTTTTCAATTTATGGTCTCAGAAAGGCAGCCAGGTAAGGGAAAAAGAATGCTGGATCTGGAGTCAGGAAGACCCGATTTCAAATCCAGCCTCAGTTTCCTCATCTCTTCTTCATTTTCTCATGAGAATAATAATACTCAGCATTTATATAGTGCTTTAAAATTTGCAAAGCTCTATGTGTTTGTCATTTCAATTGATCACAATTTCTGTGAAATATCCATGCTATTATTAATATAGGTGCTATTATTATCCCCATTTTGCAGATGAGGAAAGTTAAGTGTTAAGTAAGGTTAAGTGCCTTGCTCAGGGTTATATAACTAGTAATAGTAATAATAATAATACTAACAACAATAACTAAGATTTATATAGTGTTTACTATACAGCAAGTACTGTGTACTAAGTCCTTTACAATTATTATCTCATTTGATTCTTACAACAACCCTGGGATGTAGGTGATATTATTCCCATTTTACAGACTTGGAAACTGAAACAAACATAGGTTAAGTGATTTGCCTAGGGTCACACAGCTGTTAAGTGTGTAAGGTCAGATTTGAACTTAACTCTTCCTGACTCCAAGGCCAGTATTCTATCCACCGAGCTGACTTCAGCCTTTAATTGCACTTGTCTACCAAAGCTGTGAGAATAAAATGAGAAAAAAATTATAAAATGCTTTAAATTTTTTAGCATGTTTCAAAATGCTATATAAAAATGATATTATTATTAATGAGGTACATACAGCACTGAGAATGTCAATGACTTGCCCAGGGTCACACAGCCAGAATGTGTCAGGGAAGAGACTTGGACCCAGGTCTTTCTGGCTTTAAGGACATTTCTCTACCCTTTAAATCATGCAGCCTCTCAGGATATAAAAATCAAATTCCATTTTAACAGCTATGAATAAATATTAAGCATAAGTAGTGTAAAATTATATTTAAATAAATGGAATTTTGAGCAAGAATTAGAGAAATATAAATACCAGTTAGATATAGTAATAGTCAAACTTATGATTCACTCCTTAGTTAAATACTAGCTCTCTTCATCAAATCTATCAGTCTTTTCTGATATCAGTAATTAGGCAGTTTTAAGACTCTTACTTAGTCTGCAATCTTACTTTCACCATGACTTTAATGACCTTAGGAAAATAATGATATTTTTCATTTTTTTTTTCTTTTTGGCTAATTCCAGGAAGGCCTTTTCTTGTGCTTTTTTTTTTCTTTTACTGCTATCATTTTTCTATGACCTTTGGAGTCCTCCTTGTATGACCAGAATAAAAAAAGACATCCAGAAGCTGCTATGCATTTGAAAAGAAAACCTTTGGTAGGGTATATGGCAGGGTAGGAAATAAAAAGCTAAGCTGAGCAACAGACAGATGAAAAACCTGTTAGATGAGGAAGAGAAAATGAATGGTAGAATTTGCATTTTGTGAGCTAATCACAAATTTACATAGTCACTGAATATTAGTGCTGGAAAGAAGCTAAAGAAATATAATTCTTGCTGTATTGTCCTGTATGGCTATGAAATCATTAAATCAACCAATATTTATTGAGTGCCTGTTATGTGTAAAGTACTTTGTGGCATAGAAAATTGTATGAGGGAAGTAGTGGGAAAGGTGCTGTCTTTAGAATCACAAGGGCTTGGTTTGGATATTGGCTCTTTGTTGTTGTTCAGTCATGTCTGACTTTTTGCAACCCCATTTGGGGTTTTCTTGGCAAAGATATTGGAGGAGTTTGCCATTGACTTCTCCAGCTCATTTTACAGGTGGGGAAACTGAGGCAAATAGGGTTAAGTGACTTTCCTAGGGTCACACAGCTAGTAAGTGTCTGAGGCCAGATTTGAAATCAAGAAGATGAGTCCTGACTTTAGGCTCATTTAAGCCACTGTGCCAACAAACTGCCCAGCCTTGGCTTTGCTTCAGAGTAATTGACATTTATATAATGCTTTAAAATCTGCAGTTTGCTTCATATACATTATCTCATTTGAACCTCACAACAACCTAGTAAGGTAGTTATTAACGATGTCATTATCCCCATTTTACAGATGCAGTTAACTGAGGTTCAGACAGGCAAATTTGTTTTATCCGTGTTCGTACAGTTAGTACATATCAGAAGAGTTATATGAAACCAGAACTACCTTACTCTGACTCTAGCACTCTTATCTACTGGAATATATTACCACAAATGTCACATGGGGAAAGTTATTTAACCCTTCTGGGCCTCAGTTTCTTCATCAGTTAAATAAAGCTCCTGGATGCATTGATCTCTATGAGCCCTTCCAAATTTAAATGTTTTCCTCTGATCCTTTCTAGTTCTATATCCTATAAGCTACTGTACCTATCCTCAAGGATCTTACAGTCTAGCATGGAAAACAGGATATAACATTGTTGTTGTTCAGTAGTTTTCAGTCATATCTGATTCTTGACAAAGATACTTGAGTGGTTTGTATTTCCTTCTCCAGCCCTTTTTATAGATAAGGAAACTGATTAAGGAAACAGGATTAAGTTAACTTGCCCAGAGTCACAAGGCTAGTAAGAGTCTGAGGACAGATTTGAACTCAGATTTTTCCTGACTCCTGGCCCCGTAAGCTGAGCAGCCTAGTTGCTTCCAAGTTATAACACAGGGAGAGTTGAATAAAAATACAACATTGGGGCAGCTAGGTGGTGAAGTGGATAGAGCACCGGCCCTGGATTCAAGAGGACCTGAGTTCAAATGTGACCTCAGGCACATAACACTTACTAGTTGTGTGACTCTGGGCAAGTCACTTACCCCTAATGGTCTTTAAAAAAAATACATTATATGAGACTTTATAAGGAATCTATTCAATTCAGCAGGCTTTTCTTTAAGATCTACCACGGGCCTTTGCAGTAGGCAATTGATTATACCTTACATAATACATGCTAGGAGATCAAAGGGAGAAGAGCTCATTGACTGTTGGAATAATATGGAAAGACTTTATGTAAGAAGTGGAAATTTGAGCTAGACCTTGAGGGATGGACTGTATATAGAAAATCAGAGAGGGTTTATTAGTGAATTTTAAATGGGGGATTTATTTTTCCCACAACTTTAGACATTGTTATGCCAAGGATTGTCTTCAGCGAAATATATTTCTTGATCCATATTCCCAAGCAAGTGAGACAATTCCTAAGCCTCTAAAAATAATAGGCTAGCATTTCTTTCTTCTTCAGGGGTCTATGTTTGTGGGGACTGGGGAGACAGTGTTCTGAGCTGAAGTTTCATGAGCAAACATCCATTTGGCAGCTTCAAATTTGAAGCATCGAGAGGCAGAGTGTGAGTTAAAAAGATAAATCTTTTTGTACACCAAGTGATGATGGTATTTTATGCAATAAAACCTCCTTAAGTAAACACTTGATGGAAGGAATAAAATCTTACTCGTACATAAATCTCTTTTATTAACAGCAAGTTTGTGTGTGTAAAAGAGCTCTAATGTACCCAGGGGAAGAGAAGGTAGACAGAGCTATTATAGTAAGTAAGATAGGCAGAAGACTATTTCAGCATTCATCATAAATTGGCCCGAAGTTGTCTAACTAAAACTAAGGAAAGATGGATGTCCATTACCATAATGCTTTATGTAATATGGCAGAGCTAATACTTAATCGATAGAAACTTTCTCTGTGGAGTTCAGAGTGCTAACAAAATCCCAATCTAATTCAGCCCTGCAAATAAAAAGGAAACACTTCCTGTCTATCATTTCTTTGACTTACTCAGCTGTCTATGGGGAAATGCAGTTAGAGTAATAACTGCCTTTTTTAAATTAATTTTTATTTTCAGTTCTAAATTGTCCCCCTCCCTCCACTCCTCCTCTATCCATTGAATAAGCAAGAAATAGGCTATCTATTATACATACACTTTGCTAAACCCTTTGCTGATGTTAGTTCATCTGAACAACTGTGTGAAATAGATATTTACAGGCATTTGAGAAAGGCACAATGAAGGTAGAAATTAGGATTTTGTTGGAATAGGGAACTTCAACTGAAACCAGTGAAGATCAAAAACTCATCAATAACTTGGAGCAGGGGCTGTTGACTTCTTTTTTGTTGTGGTCCTCTTTAACGGTCTAATGAAGCCTAAGGACCCCTTTTTAGCATAATGTTTTAAAATGCACAAAATAAAATATGTAGAATGGTAGAGGAAACTAATTTTATTGAAATACAGTTATCAAAATATTATTTTAAAGTTTATGGATCCTATATTAACCCTTGATTTATAGTCATAAAGTTTCTTGGAGGCACTGAGTCTCAGGTTCTAAAATGAGCTGGCAAAGGAGATGGCAAACCACTCCAGCATCTTTGCCAAAAAAACCCCAAATGGAGTCATGAAGAGTCAGAAATGATGAACAATAACAATAAGCCCTGGTTTCTTCATGTATGAAATGAAGGAGTTGCAATAAATTATTCCCCTATTTCCCACCATTTGTTTCTAAGCCTTTTAAAAGAACGTCCATTTGGGGAGTTCTATAACTTTATCTCCTTAACGATAAATTAACTATATATAAATTAACTATAAATTTACTGCAGCTGAAAACAAACACTTGGTATTTATGTGTCAAAAGGCCAAATACTCTGAATCAGTCAACTGGAGGTTTTGGTAGATATTGTTTTCCAGTGTGTTGAATGGAAATAGATTGAGAAAAAAAGTAGATGCATCCATCATTTGTTTGCAGAAAACATCAGATTTTATAGATGAAACGTATTCACTTTATAG